ACTTACAAAGGAATTTTGACTAGAACCATTCGTAGGGGTGCCGGCTTAGCATTAGTATTAGGAAAATGCTAATACTTTGTATTAAAATTAAAAAATTAACTTAATGCTCTGGTATTAGGGTTGAAAAAATAATTTAATACTTTGGCATTAGCATTGAATTAAAATTAGTATTAAATTAGCATTAGTTAATACTTTTTTCTTAGGTATCAGCATTAAGCAATACTAATTTAATACTAATTTTAATTTAATGCTAATGCCAAAGTATTAAATTATTTTTTTAACCCTAATACCAGAGCATTAAATTAATTTTTTAATTCTAATACAAAAGTATTAAAATTAGCATTAATTAATGCAATGCTAATGCTAAGCCGGCACCCCTAGACCATTCGTCAAAATTAATCCGTTTCGTGCGAAAAGATATCGAATCTATCTGACCAATGAAGGATGCGCTTGCCGAATTACAATTATGACGAACGAAATCGAAAGATTATAACAGAAACCAATAATTGATCAATCATCGAACTTTGACTCAGTTCTATTGCCATTTTGGCAAGTTTTGTAATGTATGTATATAAATAAATTCTTTCCGTTACATATCTTCTACTGTTTTCTTTGACAGAGAACACTATATTATCGGTATCGATGTTATGGATTGTATTATAAGAGTTGGAAAATACAAGTAAATGAAACAGATACAAACATATTACAAATCAGAATTTGATGAAGAATAATTTGCTTCTAGTTCTGTTGAGAATATTTGTCGCTTCCACTGAAAAAGCAGATATATTCGTACAATTAATTATAATGGCAAAGGCTTTATCTTTCACTTGCGGCAGAGCTATGGTTAATAGAATTACAACGAATGCGAGACCGCATCAACATAGTTTTATAGAAAGATATTGCTCGTCGATGGACGAACCAATGGTGTGCATGCGTTATTAGGGTGTGGGTTTGGGTATGTAATGTGGATGCCGGAGAGTCACGGTGGATGTGCCCACTCTTCCTAGTCAACCATACTAACACTTACAGCCAGATCGATCCACATCCACTCATATATTCACAATCACATCACGGCAACACCCGCACCTGCAACAATGCACCACACACCTACACCCAAACCAGAAATTCTAATGGAAAAATTGCCACTAAATTCAAGAATGATTTATCTAAATGTAAATATTTTTCAATTACGCATGATCAAGACACATATACGAAAATACTTCGAATTAGAGACACAAGTCAACTTGCTATTACAGTGAAGAATATCAGGCTTTTATCTACAGCGGGCTCCTTTTTCATCCTTCTGTTATCTGTTTGTTTCATATTCTTTTCTTCTCTGTCATTTCTACTACATAGTTTCGTGATAAGACTGCATGGCAAGCACTGTTAACAATGATGCATCATCAACTGTCTATCGTCCTATTGAGAGACATGAATACCAACAAGTATTCGACTTGTGGTATACTGTGTTCAAAACCGCACCACCAGGGTTTTTCGAACGTTATTTAGCCTCAGAAGCATCACCACGATACCAGATAGATGATACATTAGGTGCATGGCATGACGGTAAGCTAGTCAGTGCAGTGCATATTCGCCGGCTCATATTTCGATTGGAAGATGATAATCAAGAGTATCTGTGTGCTGCCATTTCAAATGTAGCAACTTTATCGGAGTACCAGATGCGAGGTTACTCACGGAATCTTCTTCGTCTCGCTCTACATAAGATGGAAAACGGTGCTGAGTTCGACATGTCATGTTTAGACACTCCACGGCATAATCACTACTCTGTCCTCGGATGGGAACAAGTAACTGTTCCTTGTCCAGTCAATATACACTGGGAAGACTTGAATCATGACAGTCACAATATTGAATGGCGGCCAGCATCTGATGTGCTACTATCAGATGGTCAACTACTATTGAAAATATACTCCAACAATCCTCGTGCATATCAGTTCGATCGTGCACCATTGGCTATGTTTCAGCACTGGACTGGCTTTTATTGGCGTAACGATGAAGCCATTATATGTGTACTAGATGATGATGAACAAGGCTATGTGGTGATTAAAAAACCGAACCATCAGGCTGATGTGTGCATATCTGAATGGCGAGCAGCGAACATCGATGTCGAGAAGAAATTATTAAAATTGGCAGCTATCGAGATTCGACGACGACATCCACAGACAAAAGTAATACGCTTACAGGGTGTTCCACAATATATAAGTTTGGACGAATTGAGAGATTGGACTGGTGCGGTAGATGTCGAGAGAAATCCAGACACAATGTTTCGTAATCTTCGACTTCCAGAAGAAACTTTTCAAGATGTCAAGACTGCTTTCTATTCTGGAAAAGCCATTTGGTGGTTGGGTGACTACTTCTAAACGAATTCGACCTACAAAAGTTCGCCAACCAAATCGCATTAATTAAGACATCCTATTCTAATTTTTCAATATGCAATCGCTCCATTTTCTCTAATATTTCTCATTAACTACGTGAACATTTTCAGCTTTTGTTCATAATCAATCGGTAATTGAATAGGTTTAATTCGAATCCTATAATTCTATCCAATTTCGAGTCTCAGATCAGTTATACAAACATGCGATGAAGGTGTGAATATGCTTGTGGGTGTTGTTCTCTGTCAATGAGGGTCAGTCGAACACTTTTACCAACATCCAGATCTCGAACGAACATGCAGGGTGTGGGTATGGGTGTGCTTTCAGAGAAGAGTCGCACTAACCCAGCACGGATAGTAGCACTAACCCCCACTTTACATGAGTGAAAAATCTCAAATTCTAGTTTTTTTGACCGAGTGCATGATAGTACATTACAGTACATAATAGGGTGTGAATGTGATGTGAGTATGGGTGTGGATGAGATGAGATCAGCACACACATCCACACCCACACCCAATTGCACGGTTATGTTCAACATATGGTTGTATACGTGAGGAACACATAGTGGTGGAAAGCACGTCGATTAGTACCGATCGAAAAAAACTGTGGTACTAGGATCATATGGCCCAACAGCATCGAAACATGTAGTGAAGGTACAGCCGTGTGATCATGATATTCAACATGGTGACGGCAATTCTCTTGGCTTTAGTTGCAGAAAGATGCAGGTGTCGATTATGGATAAAATTGCTATGGCGTATTTGGATAGTCTTCGTAAACAAAGTTCTTGTTGATTATTTTTTGACTAAATAAACAAATAACACAGATCAGATACATTTCTTCTAGTCATACATATGCAATGAATGACAATTGAGTTGAACTATGAGCATTTAAAAAAAAGATACACAGTATCTAGTTGATCGATTGTATTAGGAATAAATTTTTTCTCTTAATTGTAAGCCGATAAGATTTTTATCAAAGAAGGAGATCTTGACTTGACGACACTATATAAGAATCTAATCTGTAGCTTCTCTCTTAGATCATGTAATAGTGTTAACACCTGATATAAAATAAATATAATCATATTACTACCTCCGAGATTGGAATACAAAATAACACAGTCATAAATGTCAATATCAGCAATTCTTCAAAGCTTGTTAGTAAGTGTTCTGGCAGATTGCTTCATGTTAAGTAGTTTACTTAAATTGATTGATCGATTCGTGTGTACATTTGATTCAATTAAATAGATTACGGATGTATTTAACATGATTGTAATCACAAGCATCAGCGTTAGATAAGAGATATGTGCTTTTTACACAATTTACCAGTGTAATTTCATTTAAAAATTTCTTCATTCATTTTCTAAATATTATAAAGTATAAACGAAAAAATCAGAAGGAAAAGGAGGACTGCTGTGCGGTTGTGTGAAAATAACATTAACACCGACATCCAGATGAGAGAAAAGTCTCTAGTATTTTTACTTATGTTCCTGTCAAAATATGAAAACTCTGAAAACCTTAAGAAAGGTTTTGTACAAAAAAATCGTGATTACTTTGAAAATGTGTATCAGAACAAACACTATTGGAAAAGAGTTTAATCCACATGTGACAATTTATGTAAAGACCAATATCGAAGAAAATGTACGAATATTTTTATTAAGAATTAATCGAAGAACTTTGTTATATCAGCAACAAATATGATTATAGTACATAACATGCAGAAATTTATTCGGAGTCTAATCAAATAACCCTTTAATTGGATATTTGGCTGTGATAATGAGTGGTAGCTTCAATAGCGCTTTTAATTTTCCTTTGAAAATGGTATTGGTCTTTTAGCTGCAATGCTCGGAAAACTTATCATCATTCTCTAAAGAAACCTTTTTAAATTCGAAGTTATTCTTATGAATTTTCAAACGAGACATCTTAGAAGCCATGTCTGAATGTTTGTATCAAAAACTATCTGTTCTTTGTTTCAAAAAGTCGGTTTTTCTTCGGAGGAAAGAGAAGGCAGCCTGAAAATAATCTGTAAAGACCATTGACAACTATTTTATTAAGACAAAACATGAAAGCCAAACATACATAATTGGACTTGACAGACAAGAGGAAAAGTTTTTTGATCGAAATTTTAGATCAGTATTTGAAATAAGTCAGTACTTAAGTTCTTGACTATTTGAAATTGAGAATAGTTGTTCGCAGTTAACCAGTGTACAAAAATAAATCATTTCAGGCCAAAAAACAAAGTTTTTCAGTTTTATTAGCAAAACGGAAGAGAGTTTGAAGGCAACGAAGACATGATGATTTTCCACAGGGAAATAATAACTTTCAATATTTTACACGCGGAGATTGATGAGCAACTGTATTAATTTCATTTTCATCTCTTAAACGACGTTCAACATCTAAATGACAAATATTTTCTTGTGGAATAGAATTCATTGTACTAACAGTTAAAATTAAAAATAGACGAGATTTTCTTAATAGGAGTTTAGAGAAAAAAATATTTACATGCATCGACATTGAGAATTAATTTCGAAAGTCGTGGTAGTAATTTTATATTTATTGATAAACGAGTTGTAATTTCTTGAACTCGACTAAATTTTTCATTAATTTCTAATATTTATTCATGTGTTTTAACATCAAGATGTTTGATATATTGAATATATTTAACATCTGATGTAACCGATATATTATATTTGCCATTGATTATGAGTAATTCTCTTTTGTCTTGTCGATTTGATGGCCATGGAAGTGAATATATATGTATCCATTTATAAGTTTGATATTCATAACATACAATTTTCATTATCCATCGAATAAAAGCTTCAATTGGTGGTTCATCATTAATTCGATGTGTCATGGTATAATCAAATTTATCAAGCTGATGAACATATTTACTTAACATAGATTCCATCATCGGCCCATGAGAAAATCTTGGATCAAGTTTATCACGAATACTCAGTGTTAATTTACGAAGATTAGGCATGTAACTAAGTATAGATTCAATATTATTCAATTTTATTTCCGTATCACTTTCTAATAATGTAAAATCGATCAATCGAGGACACAAGATTTGATGTTGAGGATGATAATTGGCTGAAAAAAATATAAATCATGAAAATATCTCGCACTTAGCAAATATAAGTCTTTAAAAAAAAGAAAAGTAATTTCGATGTAGAATACAAATGCATTCTTTAGTCTCGTTATGCTTATATCCATTGCTTGAAATGCAAAATCTCTCGAAGACTATAATTATTTTCCAAAGATAATCAATTGATTATATTTATTCTTAAATTTTGAAGAGAAAATTTTTCTATCTTTCAGTTTTCTTTAAATAGACCTATTCTACATAACCATGAAATCGAAAAAAAATCTCGCCGCAGGATCATATATATAAATCAATAATATCATAAATACTGTTATTGATCTTTTCTGTAAGTTATAATATGATTAGTTCATGCTTTTTTATCTTAAGGATATGATAACTAGAGAAAATCAATCCATCTCATTATTTTCTTAAAAAATATACAGTTGTTAAGAAAAAAGCCTGCACAAAAGTAGAAATTCTTTTCCAGTGTTTATATATTTTATGAAAGAATCATAGACTTGATTGTTTCAGTAGTCGTTTTTCGCTTTAGATATATAAAAATTAAGATTTATTTGTCTTCTCGCCTATAGAACATAATTCATTCGATATAGACGACAAGAATAGAAACATATCAAAAATTCAAATGTTTAGCTCTGATCTCGCTTACAGGATGGAAGTGATGATAATAGTTAAATAGTGAAAGTGACTGACAGATTATGTGACTATGAGTTTATCTGATACTTTTCTCTTTGAAACACCCAACTATCGAAGCTTTTATAATTTATATATGAAACAGTAAATTTTCAACAAAATTTATGAAGATTTGACCCGTTGATATTATCATCGTGCTTGCAGAAGCCTCTTTTCTAATCACTCATTGATCGGTGATGCGCACTCAGTATTGAAAAAAAACAGTTATTGATCAATATGCTTGTCTTGATATTCAGATTTAAAGAAGAAAATTAAAACATAAACAATCCAAAGATGATGTAACATTCTTCACCTATCTATTTCTTGTTTAATGTAATGCTTCTAACAAAATCACAATCTCAAATGCATCAGTAATAATATAACTGAAATAATGAATCGATCAACATAAAAGTCAGTAGCTGAATTACATAAAAATATTTAGCGAGAAGGAAAATATAAATTTGAAAGTAGAACATGTTAAAAATAACAAAGAACTCTCATGATATTAAGAATATTGCCAAAATTTTAAAGTAAGATATAAATAGTACTGATTTATATCTATCATTTGAAAGGTAAAACAATTCTAACAGATATGTATGAAGAGAAATATTGTTCAAGAAAAATATTCAAGATTTTTCTGCAAATAATGATATGCGAGCTCTACAATAGGCAAAAACTAAGACGTAAATAATGAATGAAAAAAATGAATTTTCAGGTGTAAAAACGATTTCTAATTCTATTCAAAATTTTCTAGTTAAAAATCGATTATATATTTACTTGATAATCGCGATTCACGCTATCGAACAATAATTGTTTCGATGTTTGGTATAAGTCCACTTAGTCATACGTCTAAATCATCAATTCGTTGAAAGACAATATTACAATGATAAAAACCTTGTTGTAGTATCATGGATTTATACAAAGAAAGTTCATACAATGGTTCAATAGTAATTTCACGTAAATTATACATTCGATCATTAAATAAAAATTCATTAATTAGTGTATTACTTCTATCTATGCAATCACGTTCTAAAAAGAATCAAGATTATTTTTTCATTGATCATTACATTTGTTGATTAAAATTATGAAGAACATTGTCAGCTTGTAAAACAAAACAAAAAATCCTTTTAATTATGAACTCATCTATTGTTGTACCAAAATTCACCAGAGTAATATAAAGATATTCAAGTTTTGAGAAATTCGCAACAAAATCCATCATAGTACGAAGATCATTTTGAAGTACGATTGATTACAGTAAAATATGTCAAATTGCTGAAAACTGAACGAATTGTATTATAAGACATGAAGAAAAAATAATGTTGTTCTATATAAAATTCATTTTCATCATGTAATATTAATGAGTTAAGTCGAAGAGGATTATCTGAATGAGAAAATAAACTTAACAAATAATTATATTCATGAAAAGCCATTACACCAAGATTGATCTTTGTATAATAATCATGTATCAAATAGTGAAGAGACAAATTTGGTCTTTCAGGTGTATAAAAACAATGAATTATATCATATATTGATAAATAATGACAAATCATAAGCAGATTTTCATTTGGTAAATCAAGTAAACAAGTTACTTTATCTTGAAAACATTTCATTTCTGAAACTTGATTAATAATATCATCAATAATACGTTTCATATTTTTGTCCCAAGATTATTGAGAAAGAATAAAATAAATATATTAACAGAATGAAAATTAAAATATTGCAAAGATTTTCTTCAAAAGTAAATTTTTTTCAGTCAAATATGTTTTCGTTTGATTAACTTCTAGAATCAGTGTTTCTCATGAAAATCTAAAATAAAATGTACCATAGTGTACAAAGTCATGTTTTCATGTAATATTTAAAAAAAAATAAAAATATGCATATCTTATTACTGCGTTAAAAGATAGATCAATATTAAATAAAAAAAATAGAGAGTAAGGGAAGCAGCAATTTGTATTCAATTCATTTAGGAAGACTGAACACACAAAACCATACCATAAGAATATCACATAAACTTGAAAAGCTATGATTTACTATTTTTTAAAATCCATAATAATCACAAATCAATCAAAACTATCATTTTCATCTTTGTCATTATGCACATCAGCATGATGTGAAATAAAACTAAAGGATGGCTGATGGAGAACTAACCTTTTAGTACTTTCGATTGTTCTCCACTTCTTTAAATGTAATCGGACTTATTTTTTTACGAAAAGTTTTGCCGTTGAATTTTCTACAAAAATGCACTCATCGTGTCTTTTTCACAATGTAAGAATAGAAAACGGCATGAAATTTTCTGAAAAAATATATCTGAGCAAGTTTTCTAGTAGAATTGAGTATACTTTTTGTCTCGTTATGCATAGTAAAGCTCTATTCAATTAGATATGTCGATGTAAAGATTTCCACCTTGAAAGTTAGTCGTAACAATCAAAGAATTTGATTTAATTTGCTTGTTTTCATAAGAATAAACAAATACTTATATAATCAAACTTTCAGATTTAAATATAAAGAATCATTCGTTTTTCTTCGAAATCATGAAAAATTAGAACGAAAGAAGACTTTTCCCATAATCAGAAAAATATCAGAGGTTTCTTGCGCAGCATAATTTGACGAAAACTATTGGTGACCAAAGCAAAAAGATAGTTTTCCATGCACAACCTAATTACTAATTAAAATTTCCTGTGTCCTAAATTTCTATTAAACGAAAGCAATAAATATGAAAAAACGTAAACATTTTTCGGGTTTTATAGAGCTTTTAGAACATTTCATGCAGTTTTCTATTCCGAGACTGTGAAAATAACATAATTAATGCATTCTTGTAGAAAATTCAACGGCAACTTTTTTCATAAAAAAATAAACTCGATTACATGTAAATAAGTGTAAAAATTTTGAAAATACCGAGAGATCAGTTCTTTAAAAGCCACCAGTTGAATAATCACACTGACATAAATCTGAAAAGGAAAATAAAGAACAAAGTCAGTAAAATTTATAGCATTCAGTAAATGATGGACTAAATCAAAATAGGTCAATATGCGTTCGCGGTTTCAACATAATTTTTCGACTAAAGATAGTTTTAAAATCTCTACCGCAATGAGTACATTGTATACTATGCTGGTTCGAATTAGATTGATTAGTATGCGTGCCTATAGATGGATAAGTCATCGAATCAATATCAAATATACATGTTGGAAGGCGCCACATATCTAGACTCTTTTTCTGAGTCAATATCCAGAATTTTCGAGCCGAAATAGAACAAGGATCCTATGCAAGTTTTGGTTTGTCTAGCCTAAGTGCAAGTTTCAAGACTTGATACCTAATAGAACAAAATACAGTAAACGAGGTCACTACAATAGTGTATATAAATGATGTAGTGTCATTACATGTCTCTTTAAAAAATGACGAAAAACACAGATCGATAGAGATAAATTTTCTCTATTTATTAATAACAAAGCTATAGTCAGTTCCATCCAATAAATCAAGCGACTGATTGCCATGCATTAATAAATATATACGTGTGGATGGGTGCGTTTGAAGAAAAGGTCTGAATCCACACCCACACCCAGATCTAATAAGTTCAGTATACCATAATCATCTTCAATTTTTTTCGCAGTTTTTTTTATGTGCTGTTGACCAAATGATAATAGGTTGTAGCTGAGTTCTTCAAACGTAAATATGTCGAATATAGTGTCTTTAGATCTTCTTTTATAGCGTTCTATCAAGATAATGACATGTAAATGATCTACTGATGAGCAAAAAATCTTTATATATTTCAGATTATGTTGTAAATCAGTGCTGTTGACTAATAACTGTTTCATGTTGCCATCATAAGCATAAAATGTGATGGTTTTTTTCATGGTTTACTGTAATATAATTTTTACACTCACCGTACCTCGGCAAATTTGAATAAATGATAGCAGATTATGATCATGTGAGAAATGACTATAGATACTCTAAGGAGAGACAACGAATTTCACGATTTCGAATATTTCAAGGGATTTCAACGAATTTCAGAAAAAATTCAACATTTCGTAAGAGTTCAGGACTAAAATCTTTGATGTTTCGCTTTAGCACATACGCCACTCAGGGTATGAGTGTGGGTGTGGGTATAAAGCTTTCATTCAACCACAGTCACACCAACGTCCACGCAGCTCAGATCCTGCAATCCACATACACACTTGGGATTTGGTTGACGAGCATGAGTCTTGTTGTTCGTCTACTCTTCACTCATGCCCACTCAACCCATACCCATACTCTTCTCATCTAAGCTTAATTTCATTTAAGGGTCTCCCCCTCAAAGAAGTCACTTTTCGTCAGAATCAACGAAATTAAGATAAACGTAGGCAAAGATAGCTCGTCATCGGATCTTTAATAAACGACAAAAATTTTTACTCGGCATGCCCTTTTTTCCATTTTTTTAAAGGTTTCCCTCATCTCCTATTCGAAAAACAAGCTATTTTTGAAAAAAAACTACAAAATCTTTTTCGATTTTTCTCATTTTATAGACTCTCGATCGCATCTCCAAGATTTCTCGAAAAAGCTTCATTGTAGCCGATAGTTATTTTTTTTGTTTGAGAGAGCATGTAAAACTACAGTGCCTATGAGAGCCAGTTTTTTTTCTATTAAACTTTGCTTTAATTATATATACAAACCTTTATATAATTAGAGCGCTATTTTTGGAGAGGTTTTTTGAGTCATTGAACTTTCGATCCCGTTTTTTTTCCCTTAAAAAGTAAGAATTAAAAAAAGGGTTCTCATAGGCACTGCATGCTGACATTCTGGGTGTGGGTGTGGGTGTGGGTGGGTGTGGGTGTTGATCTTATCTCAACTAACGCTCACGCATACACACACCCATACTCACACCCTCTGATTGGCAGCCGTAATAGCTTCACATCGATATGAAAAGACATGTTGGTCATCCGTGAAGGAGACTACAGATGTAAACCATAATTTGATAGAAAGCTATCGCAAAACCAATTTTTGGAATAACATTAGAAGTTACATCGAACTTGATTCCAACGAGAAAAACCGAAATATTGTGAGGACGGCAAAATGATATTATCCACACTTGTTCTCGAGTTGATGTGCTAAAAACTCATCAGGCTTATCATCTGGATACCTATATTTGACTTATTATTCTTATATAGATGTAAGCGCAGAAATTGTCCATATCATGGAACAAACTGCATCTCGATATATAATAGCGTTCGTGAGCCGTTCAAAAAGTAATAAATTTAAAAAAGTGTACTTCATACAGTATGCTGTTTCTCAAAGTGTTAACCGATTATTTCGATTCTCTGCAAAACAAATGGATTTTTATCGATTTTCACTGAGTGAAACCAATTATGATCGAATGTTGGCTTAAATTTAATCAAAATATGACACTTTTTATCGATTTTAATCAGATGTCAAATGTATAGTTTTTTTTTTACATAGGACAAACTTTGTTTTATGTTGATTTTATATATTTCCACAGAGAACCTTCGACAAATAGACGATAGCCTATCAGTATTGTCACAAAAAAAGTACTGGTAAAGTTTATTGCAAAACCGAATGACCGATAGTTTGGATAGCCGATAACAAAAGTAAATCTACCGAGGACAAAAAGAACGGTAAAAACAGGTAGAATTATCAGTTCATTCGATCGAAGAACAGTACAAAGTGTTAATGAAAGAATAAATTTTATAATAAATTGTTCAAGTGTATTTTGTAAAATACGTTGTTGCTGTTCAACAAATTGATGTCCTCTCCTGTTCATTGGATTAATTGCAATAGTTGTTAGGCGCCGGTGAATCACCCACGTCATAGCGACTAATAAAGGCAGAACATCCACAAATAAAAGTTGTAAAGTAAATATCAAACGTTTTTCCAATGATGAAGATTTATCATTATCATCGATTAATACGATCCATGGTAATTTATCAAAAAAAGCTAGTAGTAATATAAGAATCGTAATGATAATAGAAATGTCTCTTAATTGTACAATGGTGCGTTTGTAAGTGTAAAATTCTTCTTTTTGTTTATCATCCGTTTCAGTTTTCATATTGCGTTTTATAAAATGAAGAGTCCCGAAAGTAATTGTGATAAGTTGTGTATACTTTCTTTTCTACAATGGACAATACAAAGGACATTGCGATATTACAAAACAACACTATTTTCTTGTTTCGTGAGCAGTGTTGATGTAGATGTGTGTGTGTGTTTGCATAAGGATCCACACTTTGCCTATACTCTTACGTTGATGCTTGTATTTGTCCTCACAACTGTATCGATAGCCAAACACATTCTCAAAAGAGATGGGTGGGTATGAATGTGGGTATAGGTGTTACTTGAAGAGACTCAAGAAGATTCACACACTCACACCATACTTACACCCGCTCCCGCGCACAGCTAAACCCATACTCACATCCACACGTACATGCAAACTCATACCATACCGGCATCCACACCTACACCCGATTCCAGCTGGTGTGGACCATGAGCCGATATGAAACTGTCACATGCCTACTCACCATAAAGTCTTGTTATCAAGTATTTATATTTGCTCTAACTAACAAGCTCTTTCTTTCCGAATTCTACGACTGTAAAAGATGTACTCGTAAAATTAGAGCACAATGCATAAGCAGCGACAAGTATCAAGGACAGCCATGTATCTCGATGGTTGTATAACCTGCCAAGTAATTTCATTCTGTTTTATTGTGTCAACAGCCTTGGACGGTTAAAATGGACCGTTAAGATAATGCTCTCTGACGACAACGGCTAGATAGGAATAGGAGAGAACGTACCGTGATGATTGTTATTATCTAGATAAACGCCCACTTTCCAACTTGGTGAGCAATTTTTTGCTTACTTCTGTGTCTCTCTCAAAACGTGAGTCTTACAGTCTTTATCTTCACCCTTGGACCTCTTCAAGCTAAACCAAAACAACAAAAGAAAATTTCTTTTCTGTTGATGTTGAATAATGACTACTGCCACCCGTTATTAATAGTTAATATTTGCATAGTTTAAGTACTCGACAAAAGTAGAGAATATCACCACCGCCAAAAACAATGATGTTAAATGGCGTTCGACAATAAGATCTCATATGAATACACTGTTCTGTTCTTTTTTTGAAATAAAACAAAAAAGCATGATATTTATTTTCTCATCGTAATCAGAAAAAATGTGTTGGTGTGAGTTGCATTTCTTTTCGTCTACACCTGCCTGATTCCTAATAAAATTTGAGCAAAGGTAATCGAGGTCGAGAAATTCGAATGTGTTATCGATTTCTTAAGGATGGAGGGTGAGTTTAGATGTTCGTGTGAGTATGAGTCTTCCATTCAACCGCAGTCAACTAACGCCAACACAGTTCAGATTCCACAACCCACATAGATATAAAACATTTATTTCGACTAAACTGATGCTGTTTGTCGTGCGTATCTTTTGTAATTCAGAGCATAATAAAGAATTAACCGCCGAGAAAAACGGTTCTAAATCCTTGAAAGTAAGATCCATACTAGTTTTGAGTCTGAGAAAAAAATCATTAAGTCTACTATATATGAGCATCACATCCCTACTTTGCATCAATATGCAGATGTAAACACATATTCTAGAAAAAAATTTTAGCTTCATAAAACGGTTACGTACTTTCGAATGTATTTGATCAAAGTATAAAAATGCCATTTAAACTCTTATTGAATTTCGAAACTTACTTCTGATAAAAATGATTAAGCTTCGATTTGGAGAGTAACCCCTCGTGAAAAATGGAACTATCGATAAATACTTTTTTGTTTCTCAGATCGAAATTACTCTCGTAGATTAGTTTAATAACCATCATAAAAACGACTATCAAGGGTATACTTCTGATAGCACTTCAAGTAACCTCATAAATATTCAAAACTCAAGGTTCTTATTTAACAGAAACATATGTTTATCTTCATAAAAAAAGGCCACTCGTAGCAATATAAAGCAGATATCTTTTACATATCACGCAGGGTGTCCTAAAAATTCGATCAAAACAGAAACGTGAATATTCATTTGGTAGTTTAAGCGATTCACTTGAGCCTTTAATAATTCCATTCCATATTTAATAAAGTTTTATTCGATATAAGGGTGTGGGTGTGATTATTCGTCTTCTCTTCATTCACACCCACCCAGCCCACACTCACGCTTGCACCTACACCCACACCCTCATGCGTCACTTTGTGATTTATTACTTATTTCGTTGCACTAGGAGTAAAAAAAAATATCACTTTTCTTATTTTCGTTCGATTAAACATTGTCATCTCCATTTGAAGCATAGGTACTTTTGTAACTAAGATGATAATGTTGCCGACCAGTCATTGGAAGATGCAAATTCGGTTCCTGTTCTGATTCTCTTGATCCTTTTTTATTCAATGTTTCGTACTAAGCAAAGTATGTCCTGTAAGAATATTCGAATGACTTGTGCGGGTATTGCTTTGTGCACAAGTGAAACAAAACTAGAGAATTCATTTTAGATTCTTTTAGTTTTTTCTCACTGTAATATATATTTTAAATTCATATCCTCAGGCTTAGTTTTCTTGAAAATATCAATGACTATGATAAAATGGAGTAGTATAATTTCACTTACGTGGCTGCTATTATTAATAACTCAAAATTATTAATGACACTATTTGAACATTGAATGCATAAAGATGTGTTCAAGAAAAACACATAAACTCTTCGTGTCACTTCCATGAAATTCTGTTCGACTGTGGTGCGCATATCTTACTGTATCCACCAAATTTGTAACATTAAACAAAGTCACTTAACAACCGAAACGTATCAAAAAAAAAGAATCTGTTCAACAATTTGGTTAACAACCCAGGTAGAAATATAAATAGTTACATGAACCAGTAGGAATTCATCAAATTCTGTCGATTTGGATTTAGCCAGAAAGTAGCACATAATACTGGGATTTGGTACACATGAAGTATTACTAATATTATGGTCGCATGAGCGTTGAGATTGATGATTCTATTCTTATTGATTATTACTAGCTGAAAATCAAATAGCTGGATGCAAATCAAAAAACGATAGAAATTGATAAATAACTCAAAATTCCTCGGCTATCAAACGCATCGGTAATACACATAGAATAGTAATTGTAGATTGAAAATTGCAAGTTAAGTTTCACGAAAATATTAAGATAAACATTAATTGATTATCTATGACTTGTTTTTGTAACGTAGTTGTTCCACTTTCTTTTGTTTTTATATCTATTATTTTATGGTTTTTATTTTATTTCAGTTTTCTCCATTACATCATTTTTTTGCTCCTCACCTTCGAAATATTTGTTTTAAACATCAAGAATAGTCGAAACTGATATCTGATATTGTATTAGAGGTGAGTGCTCAGAAATGTTTGAATGCATAAAAATGCAAAACATTTACAAATCGCGAATAACCTAGCAAAACAGTTTAAATGAGTATGGGACTTATATAGGTCCATAAGAAAATGTACAAACATACACTTTGTCTTGCTATCTGCATTTAAGAATACATAACAGAGCGAATGGCATCAAATGATTAACAAGACTATTATTGCTAGCACATCATCTACCAAATTCCATATAATTTGGACTATTTTATTCCAAATCCAAACCAAAACCAAAACCAAAACGTGGATTTGGTGCATCCATATGACAACATTATGAAAAATGCTTGCTCGAATTTTCTGAACACATGACTGTGACTCTTATGATCCCACCGACGAAATTCTCATGTGCCAGCAAACCGTTGATGTTTCATCCTGATTCATTACTGCCGGTGCTTAAGTGAAAACTGAGAAATAGAACTCGAGAATATCTAGCGGTTATCAGATTGATGGTCCAAATATTCACAAAGTTGTTTTTATGTGTAAATCAGCTAAAATGTAATAGATATCACTAGTGTCTGGAAGAGAGAACGAACACAGAGGCACTTCCGTTATCTGGTTGGTCTATTTTCTTACCAACCTTACCACTCACAGATATTGATGCCTATTTTCATCAATTTTTTCCACCTTGTGAAAATGTTGGTACACAAGCTTATTACAATTAACAGTGCAGAGCTTTTGTTACTACAGCAAAAATAACGAGTGTTATAATTGTGATATTTCAGCCACACTTGGAAGTGATTTGTTATTATCTGTTATGCTGTTTTTTAGAACAAGAATCATAACGACAATACTATAACTAATATCTCATTCTTTAGACTTAAACTATAAATCAAATGTTATAGCGAATGAATCTATGTAAATTGATTGAAATCTTATGGAGAACTATTTCGATCACTGAAGTTAATTAGTGATTAAATAGTAATTAATTAATTATTAGTTAGGATTCTAAACAACAATATAACATGTAATAATAAATCATTTTTGACAATGATCAAAATATCAAGACTGCTATTCAATTAATTAAAATTGTAACACTGTTTACTTATGCTGTGATAACAAAAGTTCTGCATTCTTTCTACCTTTCTCATCTAGAAATAACTAGGTGACAAAATTGCTCTAAGTTCAACAACCATGGCTGAACTCATCAAAGTTTTCTTCATCGGTGGTACTGGTTACATTGGTGGATCTGTTCTTGCTCGTCTTCTTCCTCGTCAAGGCAAAGATCTTGACATTACTGTCCTCACTCGCTCACAAGATAAAGCGAAACTATTTGAAAAAATGGGTGTCAAGACTGTTGTTGCTTCTCTCGATGACGTTGATATTCTCTCCAAGGTCGCATCCGAGTCGAATGTCGTCTTTCATACTGCTGATGCCGATCACATCGAATCTGCTCAGGCTATCATCGAAGGTCTGAAAAAAAAGAAGCAAGCTACTGGTAAAGCTCAGATCTATATTCACACCTCTGGCACGGGTGTACTGGGCGATGACGCGCGTGGTGAATATACTACGGATAAGATCTACTCTGATCTTAATATTCCTCTAATCGAATCTATCCCTCGTGATGCCGTCCATCGTGAGATCGATCTAGCCATTGTCGCAGCAGGAGAAAGTGGTGATGTCAAAACCTATATTATTCTTCCTTCCACGATATATGGTATTGCCAAGAACGAACTCACTGCCGCTGGTATCCAGAATCCACACTCGATCCAAATCCCTCAACTGATTCGCGCTAGCCTTGATCGCAAGCAGGCTGGTATTGTTGGCAAAGGTGTTAATCAATGGCCTAATGTTCACATTGACGATGTTGCTGATCTATATATCGTTGTCCTGGATGCTGCACTGGCAGGAACAGCAGCGCACGGTCGCGAGGGTTTCTATTTTGCCGAAAACGGCGAACATGTATTTCTCGACATTGCTAATGAAGTTGCTCGTGTTCTTCATGAGCGTGGCATCGGTACCGATAAGCCAAGTCTTTTTTCTGATGAGGAAGCGAAAAAATACTTTGGCTCGTATTACTTGGGCTCGAATTCTCGAGCTCGTGCTGAGCGCGGTCGTTTATTAGGTTGGTCTCCCAAATATACTACGAAGGATTTTATTGCTTCAATACCTGCAGAAATTGATGCTATTATCAACCGTGATGGTGGTAAACCTTTCGTAGTTCGTGTAGATGGACCTGCAGCTCGCCGAAAGTGAACAGAGTAGATGTTAGAAATGCATCTGAATTGAAACAGTTTTATATGCGGATTAACTGTGTGATTCTCAAATATGAAATAGCTGAAATTATTCAATCATAAAATAAATTGCTCTCATTGATCTTTCTATATATCCTCATATTTCTAAGCTCACACTCATCCTCACTTCAATCTAGACTGTTGCAATGCATCTAATTATCTTGATGAAGAATCTTTTGTAGATATTTTTCACAAAGCTCAATCGTCGCTTTTCACAAGGTTCTATTTGAACAACAGCTATCTACGTTTGTGTTAGCAGAAAGAAGTTGGTTCGTATTAAAGACAAGACTTAAAAAGTTTGGCAAAGAAAATAGTGGACAAATTTATGTGAAGTGAATTGTGTAATCTTCTTGAAGACTGCCAAGAATTTTGAATTAAGTGACAATAAAAAGAACCGATTAATCAGTTATAGCAATGTCAGATTCTGTGTAAAAATAACCAGAACAATAGAGTTTCGATATTTGAAGGTGGGTAGCTAAGAGTGCATGTTCTCTTGACTTACACCCTCTTTAAGATGATTCATGCTATTTTGTTCATGTTTTTATAGCAGAGAACAACCTATTCTTGAAAAAATGAATTTCACTTTTAATTATTTATTTAATAATAACAACTAAAATCTTTTTTATGTTAATTCTTGACAAACGAATAAGTTTTTTCTGTTATCCTCGAATCTAAAACAACAATGAAATTTTATGTTACCACGAACAAACTTTTGTTCTGTAATTCTAATCCAATTCTTTTGTTATTGAACTTTTGTTTTTGATGAAAATGTCGAATGTCATCACGAAAGTAGATAAAAATATTTATCAGACTATTGTTCTACAAGATGCTTTCTTTTAGAGAAAAATCTTTTAATTTGAAATAAACTTAATATTGGATCTGTCACTTTACAAATAGAAATCTCCTTAAATGTAACAATCGTCAATTAAAAATTCTGATTGTTTTTATTAGGTTCATCTTTACAAAAATTGTTTCTGTTTCTTGAAAATGTTAAACAACATTGAAATCTATTCGATAAAATTAATCATCAAGAAGTAAAGGAAGACTTCAAAAAAGAGTTCAGAATAGTCATGATGAAGGACGTTTTGAGAAAAACACTACTTAGAACGTGCCGTCACGACCAGCTATGCAAGTAGTCTTTTACTTGTCCTTTAAAGGTCGAAACGTGTCGATCATACCAAAGAATATATAAGAGAGTTATAAAAATGTTCAAGAATATGTGGTACATCCGAAATAAGATTGTCAGTAACGTTTATTAAAAACAGAAAGAGCAAAGACCTTTAGAAAAGAACCAAACAAATCATTTTGTGCTATTGAATTCAAATGATGTAGTATAGAAGACTCTTGAAATAATAATAAAAAGAAAAAACAAACAAATCTAAATGAACACTTAATAGATACCATCTTTTTGAATTATTTGCAAATTCCAAATACAAAGAGAATTTCAATATATTTAATTCTTTGAAATATTATATTTTCATTATCTTTAAAATAATTCTATATAATTTTCCATAGAAATGTTAAAAAAACATATATAAAATAAACAATTTTAAAGATTATTGATAGTAAAGTAGAAATTCTAGAGAGGTGCTCATTATATAAAGGTTAAGTCTTTTGGAATAGCAAAGTCTCTTTAAGGAAATAGACACATGTTCTAGATATCTGGAGAATGCTTATAAATAAGATAACCAATTTGAGCACCTTATTACTTCTCTCTTCATGTATTTTTAATGTAGAAAATAGAAAAATTAACAACTGTTACAATAATTTTTGATAAAGCTCTTCTTAGTCACTTTCGAATTCAAATAACTGCCACTATCTTTTCTTTTCTGTCACTTACACATCTAATCGATAGCGAAAAATCGTCATCCTGTATGTCTGTTCATGCACTCTAAAAAAAACGATTCATTACAGAACTAGGCAGGCACCGAACCCGGGTACAGATCGGTAATCCCGGATTCAGCTGTTCCCGACTTAGATGACTGCCTAATATTAGACCAAAGTACATGAATAACTAAATCTAGTGTTTTAGGTACCGAGAATGATCGAACTCGGAGACACCGAACCACAGAAAGTTCTGGCTTAGTGAATGCCTATACAAAACCTGCATCGGACGGAAGAACTTTTGAGGTTTCGTACAAACTTACCAAACCCAAAAACAGATTGGAAAAAGTTTGTGAAACTATTGTTAAGTTTGACGAAGGCGTGAGCGTGAGTATTTTTTTCAAGCAACCGATCCACACTCACATATAGGACATGTATGTATTATGCCTGATTTATGATTTTCTGTTATTTATTTTCTGCATTTATACTATAATTGTTGATTTTATCATGAATTATAGCATTATGAATTGTAGCGGTATATGAATATGTACAAAACACGTATTTGACAATAAATGTCAATGATGTTAATCCTTCTTTTGTAGATATTGATTGACAAAATAATGTCTTTCATAGTATTCTTATTGAAAATCTTATCAATGTGTTAGAAAACATGAAAATTATTATCAGTTTATATACCTTTTTAGTTACAAAACTCGGACTAATCACTTATGTTCTACGATTTTTTTCAATTAACCATAAACTTTTGGTATGCATTAATACATAATTAGTCCAGTGGGTGTTCATTTTTTTATTTTTAGAAATAGAAATAAATTTTTTCACAACTTCTTCAATACTTCATGAGTTCTTTTCCCGACGAAGAAATCTATTGAGCTAGTATCGTTCATTTGAGCTGATATTTCACTCATAGAAGGATAGGCTTCATAGTGTATATAAAAATTCTAAAAGAGGTCATTCTATTAGGCCTTTTTTTTTCTTTAGTTGTGATTAGGGTGTGGGCCTTCTCTATAATCAAATCCACATACCAACCCCCACAGAAATATTGAATTTAATTATTGATATATAATAGCAATAGCTTTCAAAGCATATTTATCTTCAAAATATGCCTATATACAAAAACATTCCTCTTATGAATGATATAAAATGAAGGTATGAATGTAAGTGTTTGTGCAGATTTTTTCCTCATGCACACAAACCTCCAATCAATCAACGGTATCAAATCTCAATTATCGACATAAAAAAATCAATCTTTTCTCCCTTGTTATTGATAGCCCTGGTATGTACAGCATGTTACAGCAAAACTATTTACAATGTAAAATTATTCACTCCTCCTTTATGTTTCTACTTTTTTTTTCTTTTTCGTTTATCTATGCAAGTATCAAATTAGAAATCACTGATGCATAGAGTCATAAAGAGCATTTGTTTTTCTTCTGACCTTCGTTATTTCACCAGGCAGCTATTTGATAAAAAATAAAATAAAGTAGAGAACGCAAGAGAAAATATAGCATTTAAAGGAGTAAAATAAGCAATCTATTCATTTTTTTTACCATCAATATACGTAAAAATAACATAAACAGCAGCAAAAAAAACTATGTCATTCACCACTGAAGATTTACAGAAGTATGTCGGACAAAATGTTCGTAATGTGAAAGAAGAATTAATAAATGAAGGTAATAGAACACTTCTATCATACTTGAATCATAAAGTGCGATTTTACATTCATGGATGTTTTTTTCTTTAGGTTACGAAGTTCATCTAGTTTCTCTAGGCCGCTGTGCAACAGGTTGTGTACCGCCAAGACCACTTGTCGCTGGAGAGTCTGAGCCTGAACGAAAGAAACGTATTGTTATTTCATATAACGGCGATGATCCAGACGAAAAAATTAGTTCCATTCGATGTGACGACTAATGATGTTGATCTGTCATCCAGAGATTATTTTACGAAATAAACTCCTATTTTCAAGTATATAATAGCTCGTTTTCATTTAGTCCTAATACGCTTGAATCGCCGAACCTTATCAGTCGCATATTTCATTGTAGTGTATTCTTTTAGTTAGTCTATCAAATATTTATAAATAAAAAAATGATAATAATCACTAATTCGAATCTTACTATGATAGTGTTACATCTCATTGCGAAATATCAAGAAGCCTCATTGAAGAAGACCTTCGATGATATCTATTATGCTTATTATCATATATTTTTAGTGAATTGGCCTGTGATTTGGTGAGTGTGAGAATGGATCTTTCCTTTATTCTCATCCAGCCATCCATACGCGAACGATTCTCGTTTTGATTGTTTCGAATTTCTCTCGACTATTGTCGATGAATATCGATTTGACTTAATTTTTCTTCGAAATCGGAAAATCTCAACAAAAGATTTAGATGTTAATATTAATAAAAAGGAATCGAACTCGTTTTAACCTAAACATGCCGATTCAGAAGCAAGATATAGAGCACAATTTATCGAATTCATTCAATCTTTAATTATATACAACTCTTTCTAAGAATTCTCATAAAGAGCAAATCTTGCAGATGAAGTCACAACCCAGGTGACTAACTGAATATTTTGCTGCATTATTTTCTGTTAATTTGACTTCGAGTTGCCTTCTATGATCGGCTTCAGATAGAATTAGTGTTTGTCTTCTCGAAACAATCCATCATATTTATTGTTTTACTATGATTCCATCACAATCGATGAATAATTTCTCATTGAATACTGTCTAGGGAAACTTAAATTTGTTATTGAAGTTTCGTTAATGAATATTCTTCTCAACTCATCGTTCAATAAAATTTTGTTGATCGATAAAATGAACTATGCATGAATCGATCAGTTTCATTCACGAAATCGATTCTTATTGTTGATAATCGCGATAGAAACAGTCTTAGTTAAGTTAGACACCAATATCAATAATTTTTCAATCTATTTTTTGGGTAAGCATTGAGTTTCGATTCTGAACTAAAGCATCAGTTGGAATATTCTCATTGTTCCATGACTAATTTTAGTTTTGATCGATCTTGATTAAATTTAAACATCTTTTATTTCAATTTGATCAGGAAAAAAAACGCCTTTTAACAAAACCTAAACAAGAAGAAGAACAGTGTTCACAAATAAAAAAAAAAAGAAAAACTTAGATCTAATCTCATAAGAACTATTCAGAAGAGGAAAAAATTGTCTTTATGTATTATTCTATCATGAGTTGGATTCGCAAAATAAACAATTTTTTAAATTTTCTATCACGAATTAAATAGAGGTGAGAATTGAAAAGCAAATGACTCATAAATAGTTTTCATCCTTACAAAATCCTTGTACAATATCATATATAAACTTAAACAAAATGATATTTTGTTTCGATGTGAAAGTTTATTATGAAGCAATTGTATTTTGCAAGAAAATTTGATTTGAATAGTAAATCTTTGATAATTTTATGTAGTCCTTAACTGTTTGTTTTAAAAAGAGATTGAATAAGATAGAAAGCTCAAAAATAGCCTTTTGGCTTTCTTTAAACATTATAATACTTCAAAAAAAAAATAACCATATTGAGCAATTGTATAAATAAACATACATAATAATTATATGATCATGTACACTAAAATTTAGTTATTTACAAGATCTAGAGCAAACTAGAAAGATGAATGAATGGGTCAAATATGTATATAGTTCTAAATGAATATTTTTAACAATAAGAATTTTGAAAAAATGAGAAAAATAAAATAAATGACTGATATTTTTCGAGAACAGTGGAAACAAAACTTTCTGTCGATACATATGACTGATTATTTTGCTCTCCACGAATACAATAATAAAAAAATGTCTGTATCAATTTTACGGTTTGTTTTTTTCAAGACTAATATAAATATGAAGTGACAACCACGAAATTCTCATATTAAGAACAAGATTTCTTGTGAAATTACTCATTCAGATGATCATTGTGACTTTCTATAAATTTATGAATATGATTTAATGGTTTTTTTTTATGTAGTTAAATGGATATTAATTTCACATTCGAATTTCACTACTCTTAGATGTCTTTATGAATAATTTTATCATTAATATTGTTCAATCGAAAATGAAATGCCCTATCGAGTGTAACATTTGTTGACCGTTACACCTCATTGTATATATGGTGTCTCGTTTGCTATAATCGTATCTTTACGCATTGATATTTTGACTACCTCTCATTGTTCTATTGCGTGTCTGTTTCCTCTTTGCTGTTGTTATCTTCTCTAAAAATCCAAGATCATTCTTCAAATAATATTTCTAAGCAATATACATTTAATGCTTCATTCGCAACATATGGGAAAGGCCAATAATAGCTTGTTTTCTTAGTGATACTAGAGCGTGGGATAGAAGTGAGGAATTAGAATGTATAGATAAAACGAAGACTCACACCCACAGCGACATTTTACTTCGTAGCAGTTCAAATACATCTATCGATCGATATTATAAAACGAAATTGATTCTATCATTTACACATACGAAGATATCTGTGAAATACAGAAAAATGATCGACTAGGACATATTTATCATGTCGATTTCGATCGGGATTCGATTATAAAACAGATGAACCAATACTTATGTCATTCAACTTGACTGATATCACTTTGACTTTTCATTATGTTTCATTCGATGAAATTGAAGAATTTTTATCTAAAACTTCTCATTATTTACAACGTTTACGTTTTGCAATACGTGAGAACAGTACATTTCTTCGTGCTACTCGTTGGAATCAATTAATTATAAATCATATGCCTAATTTATACATGTTTGATTTTATGTATTTGGTTTCCCAAGATGATAGTCTGTTTGAGTATATTAATGCAGATCATTTATTAAATAGTTTTAAATCATCATTTTGGACAAAGCAACAATAGTTCTTCCAATATAAAGGTTGTTCATATTCTTCTAGTGATCTTTTTGGGAATATTTTATTCTAATCTTCCGTAAAGGTAAAATAATTCAATAGAATATATTAATTTGAAACTGTTGTTTTTTTTCTCTCGATTTCAGAAGAAAATCTTATGAATTGTATCGCTGTGATACCTATGAGAGGACTATTAATTCAGCTTTTCATTTGACGGTTAGTATCGATTCCATACCAAATGATAGTTCAATTCATTTTCCACACTTGACTAAACTTATTTTGATTAAAAAGGATATCGAAAGCAATGATCGATCAATATTAATTGCATTATTCCGTTGATGCAAATTACTCGTTTAGTAATTCGAGATCCTTATTTTACTATTAAGAAACTTATTAAATTATTGCGATATTCATTGAATTCTCAAAAAGGGTGTGGGTGGGATGTGAATGTGGGTGTGGGTATGCGGTGTTGCTGTGGGTGTGACTGAGAGTGAGAGTGTGGTTGTTGGTGCATAAGAAGACAAGACACAATGTAATCACCCACACACACTCACACCTACATCCACACTCTGAGACATAGAAAATCTGAAAATACTATCAAAATGTGAAAACAAAATTGTTTTGAATTTTTTGGTCTAACTCGAAAGACTGAAGGATTGTGGTTTTTGCCATTTTTTATAAGTGTGTCAAAAGAATCTGATATTCTGGATTTAGAAGTTTCTCGATATGATCTTTCATCTGAGCCAGAAAAAATCGAAAAAAAATTTTGCGACGGCCCCGGTGGTCGGGCGGAACCCTCTTCACAGCCTGAGAATGAATTCATTACAGTATTTTAGAAAACAGGAAAGTACTAGTCGGTTAGTGGAAAAAGATCAAATGATTGAGTACACAGTCATGGCTGGAACTGGTGGATACCTAATCGGTCACCGCAATTCTGTCTTGTCAGTGTCAAGCATCGGTTTCAGCATCGCAAGCATCCACGACGCATGCATTTGAAAAGAAGGAAAAGAAACCATCATCGTTGGTGGAGGCTGAAAAAATAATCTCTTGTTGGTAAGAAGGATCTATATAGCAGTCAAATATGCGTTTGCGTTGTTTTTTCTCTTCATTCGACAAATGCGAAATCTTCGAAAGGAGAACGAAAGAACTTGATGTTTTATTGATACAGCCACATATAGTGCAGGAGGGTGTGGATGTGTGGATTTAAAGAAAACCCATACCCAAACTCACATCTCTCATCAATCTTGATACTGATGGACTGGATGTGAGCCGTCAGTTCATTCGCACTCAATAACATAAAACTCAATTATTAAATAATTCATCGATAGTTCAAAAATACAGTTATTGTTCTTTGTACTTCGTTCTGTACGTGATGTTTTCATATATTTTATCCATTTCAATCCAGTTAATCAGTATACATAGTTATGTTGCACATGCAACCGGTGGACTGTAATTGAGCAACGAATAATTGAATAAAAAAAATAATTATTGACTTGTCTTATGTTGCTTTTTATATAGAACTGTTTAATACTTAATTAAGCAAGCAGATGAATCGATTGCAATAACTATGTCCTAACATTCTCGTGTATATGTGAGCAAAACCATTTGTTGATGACATTACTTTGCAAAATTAAAATACATGTATCTCTGGGTAATGAATCTTCCTTGAGCTATTTTTGTGAATAATACATATACTGAGTTACCCTAAATACTTCGAAAAAATCAGTCCTCGGAACCTTTGTTCTGACAATTTATCACCAAAATACTAGCGTTAGTAGCATGATACAAGAAAGGACATCAGTTGTCACTGCAAGCATTTCAGTTTAAAAAAATATGCAAACTGAGGCGATATTCTTAGCAACTAAATGGTACATTCTGTAGACGACTCTTCAGGCTACAGAATCGCTATGCAAATTTTTCTCTGAACATGCCTAGATTTTTCAAAAACTGGAGCTTACTCGTCGTTACCGATGTGACAGGGTACGCATGGAGTATGTTTGCTTCTTTCATCTCTCTATAGATGTTCACTCGTTTACTGCGTAACTTATGTCTCACATTCTTCATAGTACGTTCTTTCGTAGATTATATTAAAAAAAACTATTTTACGTTTTATTAAGGTATTTAGAGAACCTGATTACTAGGTAGAGGCTTTTGACATCATTTTTCTGTTTTTTTTAAGAAAATGGCAAACAAATTCACTTAATATAGCGACAACTTTAGTAAAAAAAAGGTTCTTATACTTTTTGAAACTACCGAACCAAAAAATATGCATTATTCTTTATGGATCGGCAACCACAGTTTAAAACATTCAGTTAGAAGGTATCTTCCATCTGCATATAAACTAATTTTATCGCATCTCAAAACTTATGAGGTATTCTATACCACTTTTCATCATAGCTTCTGTTACACAAAAAAAAGATTAACCTTACAACAAATAATTTTTATGTTCAAAAACAAAACCATTATTAGACACTCGAACATGTTGTTGATAATCAGTTCAGTATCTTTAAAATCTGAAAGACTACTCTAACGACTCGATTAATTAGATTACCATAATACTTTATCGATATTCTATGTAAATTTATTTAAAATATATTTGTGAAAAATAGTCCAGAGAGTGCATTTATCAAAAAGTGAATAATAAATAAAACTCATCATTTTTGACTTTACGAAGTAAATTTTTATTGAGTTAATCTTTTCTTTATGACACCCTGCCATACTTGTTTATATCTATAATGATAAATGTTACTTTATTCGTTTATATTTTGGAAGAAGAAGTTGTCATTTTTATCCTTGAAGATGTAGTCCTCCATCTACTGGTAATGCTACTCCAGTAATGAATTCTCCACGAGAAGAACATAAAAAGGCAACCACTTCACCAATTTCCGATGGTTCAGCCCAACGTGCCATTGGCGAATTTTGTACATCTTTTTCAATAATTTCACGTGGAGTTTTACTTTTTTCGAAAATATTTTCCCAAGCATCAGTCTTAATATAACCAGGAATAACACAATTGACATTTATTCAATCTTTAGCCAGTATGCGGGCATACAATCGAACTAAAAACTCCATACTTGCTTTTGCTTGACCTGGCATTTCATAATCTATACGTGGACATTGATTTATATTACAACCAGGGCTAGATATAGCAATGACATGTCGTAGTCCTTTACATTTTAAAGCCAATTCTAAGCCACGTTTGAAAGCACGAGGATAAACTTTTTGATAGTAGTCATAAAATGATTCAAAATCATCGTCTGATTTTGGTTGTAGATCAGTTGATTCAGTAGTGATACCAACACAGAGACCAGCATTATGAACAAATGCAGTGAGTTCATTATTGAAATGACTGTGTAAGGCAATGAAAAGTTTTTCCATCGTCTTGGGAAGGGCTATATCACCACTACAACATATCACTTTCACACCAAATTCTTTTTCAATAATTTCTTGCGTACGTTCAGCAGCATTATGATTTGTATGATAACCTAATATTAAGTTATATCCATCTCGAGCCATACATTTTGAAATGCCTAAACCAATTCCTCTGGTACCACCAGTAATAATAGCTGTCTTCATTTTTCTTTGAAAACTAAAGAAAAAATAATAATTAATAGTATTACAGTTTGCTAAGTATCAAAAAAGAAATAGATATTAACTATTCGATATAAAACTAAATAATTATGAGCTCCTATTATATGAAATTTGTCTTTTTATTGCGTTTATCCATGTTATGCATTATTTACACAATGAGACTGGGTGAAGAATATTTACAAGATACTAAGCAAGCATATAATTTTCTTTCTTTTTCGTTCTTTTACTATCACTATTGCAAGAAATATGATATTGCTCGCCTTTACAGCAATATGTAAACTGTCGTCACTTACTTTATTATCAGTAATAAAGTACACAAGAGAAAGAAAATTGTTTCTTTCTTTTTATTGTTTGCGTTGATATATTAATCATAATAACTGTTCGTCATTAACTCGTAATGTGAAATATAAAATTGCATTTAATTACTAAAAAAGTTTCTTAAATGTTGAACTTTTTTTTTGAAATTCAGACATCATAATATTCTCATTTGTCGAATAATATAAATGTCTGAATATTTTACAAAATCATTGAAAAAAGTCGCACATAAATTCGATGTGTAATTTTATCAGGATATTTATAAACTGAAAACATTTTTATTTTATTTTTTTTAAGAATCTCGTCAGATGACTGAATTCTTTTTAATAGCACATTTTATTTTTAATTCTATATAATTTTACACACTACGTTCGTATTCAATTAAGTTTTCTTATACAATAATTCATTTTTCTACTTGTTTCTCATAGAAAATGAGAAACTAATTCCGCAGCATTGAAACTCAAAGTCACGACTACCAAGTTTTAGATGTTCACTTAAACGTTTTCTTCAATAAAAATTTCTAGATTCCTTTTCAATATTTATACATAGCTATGACTAGAATAGTTTTTAATATTAACAATGTCCCATTCTAATAAGTTTAAAGGAAACTTATTCCTCCATAATGTTTTGTTGTCTTAATATGACGAATATACAGTGGCGCTGAAAGCCATTCATAGGATTAATGAACACCGATCCAATTCCAATATCTTTCCTCCACAATAAGATATCAAACTGGAACTTTCACCTAAATGTAGCTAACTACTCAAATTATCTATGCTAAAGATATCAACCCGACAGAACATGTCTTCATCACACAAAAATACAAATAAAAAAAAACCATCCAATCTTCATATAGCTCAATATTCTTCATACAGTTAATTTTTCACGAGAGAAAGAATTTGAGTTCTAATGACAGATGAGAAATCAAATTCCCAAAAAAATCATAACATCTCATAAAAAGAATAGATAATCTAGTTTTTTTTTAAAGATTTCATATCGCAAGAAGGAATCATTCTTTTTGGCTGACATTTCCATGATATTCTAAAAGGCTCAAGAACTGTTTGTGAACAAAATCTCAAGTCGAAATAGGATTTTTCGACTTTTATCATAAGTACGGTGTGGGTATGAGTGTTGATGAAGAGATAACCGACACCCACACCACCCTCATTCCACTGTGAGTGGATGTGGATATAGGTCCCTCATTTTCTTTTCTTCCACAGACACTCGCTACACTTGACCATGAATATAAATATGGCTGAGGTGTAGGAAACACATATTCGTTTCATAATAATTGTCTTTTCATTTCTCTGTCATATATATCTTCATTTTTCTCATAGACATTCACCTCATTCAGTCTTACAAGTAGTGAAATTCGAAACGATATGATGTGAAATAGCAACGAATTTCTCAGGAAAAATTAAGTAACTGACAGACGAAAAAGTGATTGAAATAGATCGACATTGAACAGCAATTACTAGCCAAGTTTTTTTTTTGTTTAAGTATTATTCACGAAGCTCTCAAATAGGTAATGTTCCAGAAATAAAGCATTGACTATGAGTATTTGATACAAACGTATAATATAAACTGACACGTTGACCAGGGGTGTTGATCGCTGATTTTTTTTTACCAGTGGTAGTCTAACAGGTTGAAGAATCCGTCACGGGCTACCTGTGGATCAATGCAAACCTTATTCATATAATATTAATTTACAAATTTATTAGTTTTTCACTGAGAGATTCGTTTGTTACTTCTGAAACTACTGTTTGAGGCAGCGTAGGCGCGACCTTTCTTCTCTTCTGTACTCTTTAACCATAACTTGAGAGAAAACCACATTTATGGTAGATGATGCAAAAGTTCTATATTTTTTTATACAGTACTGTGATAGAATGTCGTGGAAATCTTTGTTTCTCCTTTTAGAAAGATTATAGTACCTATTGCAACAATACACACAAGAATTTGATTGGAAAATTTTTCAAACAATAGAAAATTTCTTCAACAAAAACGCTAGAAAACTCTTCTGAAAATTAGCTAATAATATTTTTTATTACTATATATTTCTTTGAGCTGTTTTATTGTTAACTGTCAGTCTTCTAAAACATATTATGTAAACAGCAGTGTATCACAATAAAAACTTCCATGTGGTATTGTTTGAAGCAAAAAAAATATTTGGCTTAATACCTTTTACATAGAATCCATCCTGTTCCAAGTAATATGGCTTGGCAGAGAACTTCGTACATTTTCTTTTTGATATGAAATATATAGCTTAGGCTAACATTTCAATCGCAATAGGCTTCATTTTTGCGACTTTTATCAACACAAGTGAAAAGTAACGATGCCATAAGGCAATAAAAGTGCTTTGTTTTGATTGTTATAAAACATGTAGAGTTTCTTTTTTTTTATATAGCAACAGCACTGTATGCCTATCTTGTGCAACTCGAATTAAAAGAATAAACATATAATCGATCTAATACAATGACATATTTTTCTAAGCTAAAAAGAAGTTGCGGAAGAGTTCCCGAATCCTTTTGTTTAAAACGTTTTCTAACGTTTGAAGGAAATATTCAATCAAATTTTGTGATGTATTTTAACACTAGGCATTTTACTCTTTTTAACAAAAAAAAACAATAACGTCTCTACTGGATGAAGAGTGGAGTCAAACACTTGAACAGAAAAGGTCAGATAAAAATTTTCACGAATGATGTACTTTCTTACAGTTATTAGTCAATATCTCTTTTGACTTGCACAAGACAGATATAGTAGAAAGTCGATATTGACTTCATTGCTGTATAATGTAACTGAGTAAGGAGAGTATTAATGAAAGAGATTGTCAACCTTCAATCATCACATTCAGAACATGCTTCTAACCATGATAGAATTAGATACTAATAGTCAAAGTTATTGACACGTCGTTATATATTCAAGCAATCTGATAGAAAGATATTGAAAAAAATATTGCAATTCGTTCTGAAAGTTGGCTGCAAAAACGATCAAGAAATATCAATAAAACGTGTTACATGAAATGACTTTCGTCATTGAGAATTATTTTATTCGTTGGAAAAACTGCTGTACCAGTTTCCAGATAAAAATAGGAAATAAGACATTTTCATCTATTAGAGTTAGAACCCACCCAATGATGGGTATTAGTAAAATATGCGAACACCCATGAACACTTGTTATTTAAAGTTATCTTGGGCTCTGAATGCTATGTATGCTATGAATTTACGCGAGGAAGTAACACGATTTGAGGTTTGCAAGCTCGACAGTCAGAATCGTGATTAATTTGATGAGTTCAATCATACGATGCTAGTTCAGTACAGTGACAGAAGAAACTTTTGAAGGATTGCTTAATATCTATCGCGGTAGTGGTAGGTTTCCAGTCGCGATGAACATCTCTAGCACTGACCAATATCTAGAAAATACCGATTTTTGAAGATATTTTCTCACGAGAATTGATAGCATGCATGACATTCAAATTCTGAAATAACTACAAATAAAATGTATTCGTAGGCTTGCATTGGCGATTAGATGGTGTCCGTAGGTGTTCACATGCTTTAGTCATACAACCATAGAATTCACTTTTACAGTTATGTTTCTTAAATTTACAGAAACAATCACGTCAGGTGCAAATTTTATTCATTGCTCTGATGAAAAATAATTATGTTTAATTAACAGAATTAACAATAGAGAAAGAATCGTGATTACATGTGGTCATAGCTTTAAGATAAAATTAGTCAGAAATATTCAGAGAATACAGTACAATTGAGTTTAAAATCAACCAACGGTTTTCGTTTCTGAATAATCTTTTTCACAGATGCACTGGGCATAACACTGATGCCTGTTGTTCACCTGGCACGAACCGTACTTTTTGAGCGCGTTTATACAGCGATTATTGCACTCTATCGTGCCCATGATGCCACCGTTGCAGCGTCCATCCAAACAGGTCTGATCAGGTGTTGGTTTGATATAAGTACACAAGCATTTTCGATAACATTGATGTGAAGAATGTTGAGGACAAAAACCGTATGATCCTGGTCTATTATCGTCGCATACATAATTGCAATACGAAACATCGGATGTGCTGTTGTTGCAAGAAACATTCGTATAACACACATTCTGTCCATCTGAAAACCAACTGGAAGAGTACAAGCATGCTAAGAGCAGCAGGACGAATTTCATTTAGTATACTTTTGAATACCGAGTAAGAGTGTATAAGTGAATATAGAGTAGTCTGCTTCAAAAAATCTCTTTTTATACAGCCATTTATTCCTGGCTTTTTCCGAGAGAACGAAGAGCATGTGCATTGATATTATCAGAATTTTCTACGTAATTTTCAAACCCGCAAGTTCCTTTATTTTTCACAGATAACAAATAGATGACGTGAACTATTTGTCTTTATCTTATTTGAAGATAGCGGCACGGAATTACGTATGATCAGGATGAGGATGCGAAACGACTGTAGGTAATTTAGATATTGACGACGTGATAAATTATAAGCTTGGCAATTTTAAGAACTTCCGTGGACTTCATCATATTTGGATCTGTATTGACGAAAAGCAGGGTTTATCAGTAAAACAGGAGTAGAAAAGCGAAAGAGTACAGAGCATACGTTTTATTTCATTTGGTCATAGAGCAAAGTATCTCTTAATCATCTTCTATGATTATTTCAACCA